TGGGCCACCCTTGCTCACTCGGCGGGTGCTCATAAGTCCCCCGACAGTCGCTATGGCGCCCGCGGGTACCATGTTGGGGACCACTGGACTAACCCAATCAACTCCTAACAACTGCCACTTTTGCATCCTCTCACAGCACAAACTGGCAACAGCTAATCCTGTCATGGGGCTACCTCAAGTTTTATAAAAATTGGCTTATGAATAAGCATATGCATTACTCAAAGATGCTTTATGCAAAAAGTACATCATATGACGTATTATTTTAAAAGTTGTAATCCACTGAATCTGTACCTCCTATTAGAGTGCATGTATCTTTCTTGTATGTGAAGTTAGAAATATTAAGTGGGAACCTGTTTTATTAATCCAAGTGTTCTAGTAAAAGCCATCAGTGATACTTTAGGAACTTAATTGCTAGATGATCAAGTCAAAGACCTGTGAATGGTTTTGTTTTTCCTGTAAGCCCAAACTGTGGTTGTTCCTAGAAAGACATATGACCATATCATCCGGTACTGAAATCCATCTTGAAGTTGGTATTTTCCCATGGGGATGGGGAAACTAAACTAAGAGTTCCCACCCGGAGGAGGGAGGGGGGGGGGCAGAAGAGACAGAGAATCTATTTAAGGAATGGAAAGTAATCAGTCTTGACGTCAGACGGCTTTTGAATTTGCCTCCTCACCTTAAGAGGATATACAGAAAGAAATCTGAAAAAAAAAAAGAACTCTAAAGACACAGAGGCTATGTCTAGACTGCAAGCCTCTTTCGAAAGAGACTTTTTCGAAAGATAATTTTGAAGAAGCCTCTTTCGAAAAAGAGCGTCTAGACTGCAAGAGGAACTTTCGAAAAAGCAAGCTGCTTTTTCGAAAGGCAGTCTGGATGCTCTCTTTTGAAAAACCCCTGTTTGCATTCAAGAACGCCTTTTTTCGAAAGAGCACTTTCGAAAAAAGTCGTTCTTCCTCGTAAAATGAGGTTTACCACCGTCGAAAGAAAAGCCGCGTTCTTTTGATTTAATTTCGAAAAAACGCGGCTGCAGTCTAGACGCAGGTGAAGTTTTTTCGGAAAAAGGCTACTTTTTCAGAAAAAAACCCTGAGTCTGGACACAGCCAGAGAGCTATAGATTCAGGCCAGAGAGAGAAGATCAACTCTGGCTTGTGAAGAATTGCATCTGAGATAAGGACTGAGGTGAGATTTATTATATTATATATATAAAACAATCTTTCAGTGTATTAGGATTACCTAGAATATTCTATTTATTTTGGCTTAGTAATTTACTTTGATCTGTCTGTTTTCATTTGCAACCACTTAAATCCTACTTTTTATATTTAAAAAAACACTTTTGTTTATTATCAAGCCCAACGTAAATAACTGTTACCTGGTATATGTGAGTGTGGGGAGAATAAACTCTGTGCATAAAAAGGGATGACCTTATGAGCGTTCTCATTGTGAAGAATTGCCAGAGCAAGATGGAGTTATCTGGGGGTTTGGTCCCTTTTGGGGGCTGGGTTTGTGTGTGCTATCAATGGCCTTATAGCTGAGCCCTTCCAAAACTGAGCTGGTTCAGTGTCTGTGTTACTCTGCTGGGGGTGGTAACCCCAACTCTTTGCCTTGGCTGGGGGAGATCAGAGTTTCTGGCACAGCAGGGCAGGGTGGTGGGGAGCCCCAGAAAGCAGGAAGACAGGCATCAGTGGCTTGATCAGCAGAATGGGTTGACAACCCCGAGAGGACTATTGTGACTCAACCTGTCACAAACCCCTAACCAAGCTCCTCGTGTGTGTGTCTTCTAAGGCACACAGGTAGTGCCATAGATACACTTCCTCTTTCATTGTACGGGTTTCTGAGAAACAGGTTCAGAGGGCCATCCCACTAGGCTCCATGACACACTTGCCTTTAATAAACACTACTGGCAGGTTACAAAGCTCTACACTAATTCCCTTAAACCTCCACACCCTGGATAAGATGCTCTGGTTTAGCTTCTCCTCTGATGCATTAAGGATGTTAAATTTAGATGACTCAACTAATCAAATAGTTGATGTAATTTGCATCGACTATTTGATTAGTCGATAAGGGCGCCTCTGGCTCCTGCGACATTTCAAAGGCAGAAGTGTTGTGGGAGCACAGCCAGTGGCAACTCAAGCAGTCCCCTGCTGGCTTCATACTCCCTGCTTTTGAAATGTACAAGAGCCCCAGGAGGGCTATTTTGCATTTCAGAAGCTAAGCGCTGGGAGCATGGGGCTAGCGGGGAACTCAAACAGTTCCCTTCTGGGGCTCTTGTACATTTCAAAAGCAGGGAGAGGGGGACTGTTTGAGTCCCCAGCTCACCCCAGGTTCCCTGCAGTGCTTCTGCTTTTGAAATGAAACAAGAGCCCTGATCTTGCTCGATTTCAGAGGTGGAAGCATCACCAGTTTCCCACTGTGCCCCTGCCCCTTCTCCCCACAGAGAGGGTGCTGGGGGGAACCAGCTTTTAAGTCGGCTCCCTCCAGCACCGGATCCTGCTTCCCCCCTTGCAGTCTTTCTCTGATAGAGGCAGCAAGGGAAGCGGAAAGCAACTAGTTGAGTCACTAATCGACTATCCGATAAGCATTTGCTTATCAACTAGTTGACTAGTTGCTTACATCACTATGATGCATTAATCCACACAGGGCTGTGGAAACCATGATTATCTGGTGGATGGTTAGAAAGACTCTTCTCTGCATTGTAAAATGTCACCACTTTTACAACTGTGCAATAGCTGCAAAAGTGCAGAGAAAGACTCCACACAGGTTTCTTCAGGCTCTGGGTATCCCTTCAGCACTACACTCACTACCAAAAAATGGGTTTAACCAGTAAGTCCCAGATGTTTGCAGTTGCAAACGCGCAGAGTTCAAATGTTACCTTGCTACACAGAACAGCTTTTGGGGAAAAAAGAAAGTCTGTGCCTTCTCTGCTGCATGAAGAGTTCAGTACATCAGCAGCAGCATTTCACATTACTCTACCAATAAATTGAAAAAAGCAAACATACGGTGTTCCATTCCCTCTCCCAACTGTACCTGGGTGTATTTTGCCAGGATCTCCTGTGGCCAGATGCTGGGGGTTAGAGCTGAGAAGGGACCCCCAGCAGAGGGGGTGTAGTTTCCTAAATACAAAGGGATCAACAAACAAATTAAGAACAAGAAACAGCGTAACGGATATTAAATAGCACACAATACTGCAGACAAATTCAGTGAGATGTCAGCTCACTACTACTGATCTTTGGAATCTAGATATTTATATGACCCTCATCACCAACCCAGCATCTTTCATCCCTTGGAAACTCAAACTAACATGTGTCACTCCCACTCAAAGGAAGCCACCTCTACAATGGAGCTTGTGGCAAGCTTTTTATACCAGCATTTCAGAAATTTTAATTACTGAGTAATGGCACATAAGGGTGTGACGTAGTGTGGGTACCTTGCTGGTTGCTAGGCTTGGGCTGTGGGTGACCCCCACTGGCTGCTGTCTGTACCACGGCGCAGACGAGTAGCTGATGGGACAGGGAGGTAGCCTGTTCTACCAGTTACCCCCCACTATGTCACAAAGGGCAACATCAGGTACCTACTGCCAGGGATTTTGAAGCTCCTCACAGTCTGCTTTGGTCTTAACAAAAAGGCTATTTCTACCTTCTTTATTTTGCTGGCCCAAACTTCAGGTGCAGGCAGGAAAATATGTACCAAGGTCTGGCATCCTCTGCTTACCTGACATGGTGCTGGAGCAGTGTGCGTGATGGAGGGCTGTCTATAGCCCTAGGCAGATTGCCCTCCAAAAAGTCTCAGGTCACTGTTCTACTGCAAGAAAAAAAAAATAGGTAGAAAAAACAGAAGTGATCATGAGAGTATTTATTCAACACTTGAGATCAACTATGTTCCAGCTGCTCCTAATGAACAGCCACCCCCCAATTTTCCACAGGAAGATGAAATCCTCTCAACTCAAGACTTATCCATGTGGCCTGAAGAAAATTCCTTTCTGATCTGTGAGACAAAAGGACCCAACCAAGGCAAAACAATTTATTTACAAAAAGGCCACTATGCTTGTGATACTAAAATCAAGTAAAAAAAGGGGAAAAAATGTCAAAAATCAAGTTGCTTTTCACCATAGAAGCTGTTTACTTTTACATCACAATCAGGATCCTGTTTTCACACTTGTGGGAACTAAGAAAATATAAACTGGAAGGAATTTAGAGCATGATTCAAGACTGGAGGAATACATCAGGAATTAAAGGAAAAGCTTTAAAAATAGCAAGGAGTCCTGTGGCAGCTTAAAAACTAACAGATATATTCGGGCATAAGCTCTTGCGGGGAAAAAAAAAAACACTTGGCAGATGCAAGGAATGGAAATCACAGAGGCTACGGTATATGTACTAGCATAGCAAAAGGGAGTGACTTATCAAGTATAGGAACAGTGTTAAAGCCAATTCAGTCAGGGTAGATGTGGCTCACTCCCAGCAGTTGATGGGGAGGTGCAAATACCAAGAGAGAAAATTATCCTATGGCCCCATACCACATGTATGCTCCCTTGACTAACTGATGTTGGACCAAAGCAGCCAACACCACTTCCAAGGAAAGGGTCTCTATGCCCCTCCCTCAAGGAACTTCCAGCTTTTACAAAACCAGGAGGTGCAATTTTAAATGGATTTCAGAGTTTCCCTGTAATTTACATTACATTCTCTGAATTACAGCCAGCGTCTCAAGCACTTGAGTGGGGAGCATTTTACAAATGTTGCTATTCTCTGTCCCAGACTCTGCACACAGCTCATCACCTGCATGTTAGTGAGGGGCCAGCTCAGTGGGTTGGGCACAGCTATGGAGGAGAAAGTGAACTGAAGCCAAGTTAATTATCCAGCCTGCTAGTGAATGAATGGAGGGGGGAGAGGCCTGCTGCGTTGGGTCCCTTCCTCAACACAGTGCAGTCACACAGAAACAATAAATTTCCTTGCTCAAAACCACTCCTTTCTATCAGTGTCTCTCCCCACCCCCAGCCAATCATCTGATCACCACATCTGCTCCTCCTGCCTAAACCGCTCCCTAAACAAGGACTGGATATTAAATAGCTGAACTTGATGGGCAGGTTTTTCCTGTCTTCAGTTGCTATGGAAACCTTCCTGAAAGCAGTCATCTGGGACCTGACTGGGGAAAGACACATGCAACCCCTGCTGCTGGCCTGTCAGCACCAGGGACCTCAGAGGCCAGGGCAGAGGTGGATGAATCATGCCAGGAAGGCAGGCAGATGCTGTGAGCTGCTGCTTGGGGAGTCAGCAAAATGGAACCTGTCCAAGGATTGAAGTGGGGCAAAAACTTCTCCACACCAGCTAATCTCAGAGGGGGATCCAGCAGTTCTCTTGGGAGGACAACTCCATTCTCTAAGCACAGCTGCTCATCTGACCCATCCAAATAGCTGCTAGGGATACCCTTAAACCATATACCTGATCTCAATGAATCCTAGTAGTAGTATTACAAAAAACATTCACAACACCAGAGTGCTTTAGAGATTAAAACACTAATTCAGTGCACACCTTGCCCCAGTAAAATGTCACAGGAACTGGAGCATAGGATTCTGGGGCACATCAAGCACTCATTGGAGACTGGGTGCATGCTGGAGGAGAAAGGTCAATGTAACAGGAGAGGGATCACTTGATTCCCTGTTCTGTTCACTCCTTCTGGGGCAACTGGTTGGCCACTGTCAGAAGACAGGATACTAGGCTAGCTGGATCTTTGGCTGTTCTTATGACCTATGTTAACCTCTGCTCTACATATTCCCTATGGCCCCATACCACAAGTATGCTCCCTTGACTAACTGATGTTGGACCAAAGCAGCCCCCACCCCCATTTCCAAGGAAAGGGTCTCTACACCCCTCCCTGAAGGAATTTCCAGCTTTTACAAAACCAGGAGGTGCAATTTTAAATGGATTTCAGAGAGGGACAGAAAGCCAAGGAAAGGGACAGAGGATGAACCCAAAGCCAGTTGAAATAACAATGGATGAGCTGAAAGACGGATGGTACAGAAGCCAGTGAAGAGATCATAGGGTGAGCGTTCTCATTTTCAAGAGCAAAATGATTACATAATTTGAGCACTATGAAGCCCCTTGCATTTTAGAGAGAAGTAACGGGATATTAAAAATACAGAGAATCTTACTAGAAAATTAGTTACAGGAAAAGTACAGTGATTAACTAACTTTAAAGAAAAGAGAAAATGTCATGGCTGCCAGGTCAACATCCCAAAGTTAGGATACTCTCTATACAACCTTAACTGTGACCCTTAAACATCTGTGTTCTGACAGCCCTTGCATGATCGCATGCTATTTCTCATATAGGTGGGACTGTCAATAGTGCTGAGCACCCCAGTTCTAATTACACCCTGTGGAACCTGTAGATGATGAACATGTCTGAAAATCTTTCCCATACAATTTTTTTATTACCTCAAATACACAATTTTCTCGTCATGATATGACTGCTCTGTACACAAAAGTCCATAAAATAATCTCTATACATGAGTAGTGTACAAAACAAGAACTCTTGCAGCATTTGTTCAACACACACATTCACTAGTGCAGCCAAGTTAACCACATGCAATTTGTACATGCTCTTCCATTAGCCACAATATAAGCAAAGAGCACAAGAAATTATATCCGTTCAAGCTTTCAAATCAAATCCAGTTTTTACTTAACACTCACTTTCCCATTTGAGGTCAATTCCCATACAAAATGTCAATTTCCAGAATCTTGACATTTTGGTACTACAGCTCAAGATGAAGAATCTTGACATTTTGGTACTACAGCTGTTAGCACAAGATGACAACACCAAAAAACAGCATATTGCTAGAATATCAATGGATATAATTAAATAATATGGAAGTCCCCTGTGATGTTCTGGGGAACTTCTGTAATGTTAAACCCCCAGTTTTATGGAAACATAATTTTTCACTATGAATATGCCTGACTTGAATATGCTTTATGTAAAATGTGGCATGTAACCTATCACCGGAGAGCTGTGAATAGTCACGTTTTTCCTGTAAACCTGGGATATGGTTGGTCTTGCCAAAACATATGGCTAGGTCACCTGATGCTGGAACACATTTTGAATGTGGTACTTTTCCATGGTGGCGAGAGAATTGAAGATGAACACAAAGGATTCCCACCTTGGGAAAAATCTGTTTATAGGCAGGGAACCAAACAATAGTGGAGGACCAGATGCCAGGCACCAAGACACCGCCTACTTACCACCAAGATGACTGCTTCAAAAATCTAAGACTGAACTGGGGGAAGTACTGAATCTAAGAATTTTAATGGGTTACTGGTTAAACTGGTGAGCCCAGCCCAGTCAGAGCAGCCCCCTAGGTGCCCAGCCCACAGGATCCCAGTTAACTGGTTAAATGGAATGTTTAACATTCCATTTAATCAATGAACTTTTTAACCAGGATTTTACATCCCTAATTGAGCTCAAGCTAGGAGATTGCCTACCTTGTGAGAAAAGACAATTAAAACTACTGATAAGAAATTTCTTGTATCAAGTTTCTTACAGTATTAAGCTTAGCTGGCCAGTTTTATTTTAGCTTAGTAACTTACTTTGATCTGTCTTATCACTTGCAACCACTTAAATCCTACTTTTTATATTTAACAACAAAACTTTTTTGATTCGTTTATTATTAAACCCAGTGTAAATAACTGCTGGCAGGGGCGAGGAACAACAGCTGTGCATATCTCTCTTTCATTGATAAAACTTATGAACTTACTCCGTATAAACCTCAAGCAATGTCAGATGGATTTATCTGTGGTTTTGGTCCCACTGGGACTGTAAACCTGGGTGCTGCGTCAAATCCTTGTGACTGAGTCTTCAAAGAGCTGAGCTGTTCTCAGTATCTGTGCTGCTCTGCTGCTGGCTGTAACCCCAACTCAGTACTTTTCTGGGGTAGACCAGAGAATCTGATAGGCAGGTGACAGTCTCATGGGGATCTCTGCGATTGCACCCATCACAATATTCCCACCAGTAGTGTTCTGTCACCATCTGCCCTGTAACCTTGAGTGCCTTTATACCGTCTAATTTTGGTTCAGTGCCCCGACACCAGTAGCATGCCACAAGCACTAACGGTACATCTACACTACAAAAAAGCCCAATACCTCCACCACACCTGTGGCAGCAAGTTTCAGAGCTTTGGTGAACTGACTTAGGCTCACACTACAGTGCTCAAACAGCAGTGCTGACATTCCTGCATAGTCTAGAGCCTGGGCTCTGAAACCTGGCAAGAGGGGTAGATCTCAGATTACGGATGTTAAATTTAGATTAATTAACTAATCAAATAGTTAATTTGATTAGTCTATAAGGGTGCCTCTGCCTTTGAACTGTAGCAAGATCAATGCCGGGCTCCTGCTACAGTTCAAAAGCGGAAACCCTGCAGAGAGCTATAAGGGTGCCTCTGCCTTTGAACTGTAGCAAGATCAATGCCGGGCTCCTGCTACAGTTCAAAAGCGGAAACCCTGCAGAGAGCAAGGGGCCAGCGCGGGACTGGGCCGTGTGAGATGGAACCGTTGCCCCAGAGATGGAGCTGGTTCCCCCATTATGGAGGCAGGATAAGGGATGCCCTGAAGGTAGGGAGGGGAGGTAGGCTCTGGAGTGGCGTAGGGGATGGCATATTGGCCTGGGGAGCTAATAACTGTGTGTTTGAGCCCTGCCCACCCTGCCAGTGTCCCCACAGCCAGCACAAGTTGCCCCAGGGATGGAGCTGGCTCCCCCATTTGGAAGGCAGGATAAGCAGGGGACTGGCCCTGCGCACCTGAGCCTTGAAATGAACAAGAGCCCCAGTGGGACTCTTGTACATTTCAAAAACAGAAGCAGTACAGGTAGCATGGTGCCAGTGGGGACTTCCCTCACTGGCCCCATGCTCCTTATAGCGCCTGAGCCTTTGAAATGTACAAGAGCCCCGCTTGGGTTCTTGTACATTTCAAAAGCAGAATCATAGCAGAAATGTCACAAGCGGGGACTGAAGCAGTCCCCACTCACACTGTTTCCTGCTGTGCCTCTAGTTCCCTGCCCCCTGCGGAGACAGTGTTGGGGGGGTACTGATTTAAGCCAGCTCCCCTCAGCACCAGTTCCTGCTTCCCTCCCCCTCCCTGCTGCCTACATTTGATAGAGGAAACAAGGGGCGGGCGGAGAAGAGGGAAGCGACTAGTTGCATCACTAGTCAACTATCTGATAAGCTTATGCTCATCAGATAGTCGACTAGTTGCTTGTATCCCTATCTCAGAGCTGGGGCTCCAGCCTAGCAGGAACACCTACACTGCTGTTTTGGGTCCCACAGTAACACCCGAAATCAGTTGGCTTGTACTCCGAGACTCACTAATGTGGGAATACTTTGCATCATAGATCTACCCAAAGTCTCACTCTGGCTTCCATCAGTGTAGTTACGCCTTGCAGAGTGACACCAACAGCCCTTCTGGTCCATTACATCTCCCTTATACAGCCAACCTGAGATCTTAACTACCAGGTACTTGGGACTTTTCACTTCTGGTTCATCACTCCCTGAAGGTGTGAAACTAGTCCTCAGCTGGCAGCTTGCTTGGGCACATACTCTCGGCACAGTTTGCACACCAGAGATGTGCTGAGGCAAAAACTAAAGGTGTATTTAATAGATATATCACATGTAAGAAATGAACAAGTGAGGGAGACCAAACATATGCAAGTGGCATCTTTGTTTTCAGTGTAATTTCAGGCTTTATATACTTTTGAATTAGTTAAAAATCTTTTTTCTAATACTTACCTATTGCCTCCGAATTGGGTAATTAGTCTCATCTGATTTGGGAGGCAGTCCCTAGATTTTCAGTAACAATCCAAAAAGAGCAATCAATGGAAATTGTTAAAACAACATAATATGCCAAAAAGTTATGTCTCACAGGAACAACTTTTTTATCTTCTAGTGTTAAAAATAATGTCACTATCTACCATTGAAATAAGTTAGCTAGGGAAAAATATCCTTCCCCACACCCATGCCACTTTTGCTTAATTTGGGCATTTGACTGCACTTTGCATATAGTTAGTTCCATTGTTTCCCCTCTTCTTGGTCAGTCTTTCATACAATGGCAGGAAAGAAAAACATTTCAGAAAATAGGAAATTATGACTGTAAAGGCACAAACATTGGTCTAGGGCAGGGCTACTCAACACGCAGCCTGTGGGCCACATGCGGCCCGTGGCCCATTTGTTTGCATACCACGGTGCAGTCTGGGCTTACACGGGGCTCAACATGTGGCCCGCAGGTGGGATCCTTTGAATATGGCCTCCACTGGGAAAATGCTCCACAATTTTGAGACAATATAAAGGTCTTCTGTTGATATACGTTTTAGTACTTAAAATTCCTGGACTATCATTGCTCATTAAAAGTGCTGCCATATGGGTGGAAATTGGGTAAATATGCATTTTATTAATATCAGCAGAACTGACTGAAATGGGGCCTACATGTTGTGTAGTCTTGCCTTAATCTTTGTATTCATGCCCTCAGCGTGAAAGAAGCTATTTGTATATATTTGCATGTCTATACAACCCCGCTTAAGTTGTGGCCCTCGGGCATGTGCTGTGAGAATCACTGTGGCCCCCGGAACTTCCGAAGTTGAGTAGCCCTGGCCTGCGGTCTTGGAGACAGATGTGGCACCAGAAAGTGCTTTCAGTTTGTACTTTAAAGTTACATATTGACAGTGTCCCTTCAATTAACCAGACTGAACTTCATAGAAATGACAGATGAAAAATCTTTATTTGATCTAATCTATCTTCTCCAACTCTCATAAAAAGCTTTTGCTTTAGAGTCTGAATTAGGATTCACCAAATTAAATTGACTACAGCAACTCCTATCCTCACCCTTGCATCTCCCCTTCTCATTCCGATCAGGTGGGAGCATATCTTGGATCTGCAAGCGCTATTTGCTCCTCAAGTCAATATTTGCTGTGAGTGCCCGTGGAACCGGAGCTTTCCTCCCAACCATAATTAAGATAGCGATCGAGGAAGGCATATCACGCACCTGGGAGAAAAAACAAGGTACAGGGAAGGCCTGTAACAAGTAATGCAAAGTGCTGTCCTACTCCAGCAGTGTGGACACTCAAGTTTTTACACCTCTGCACAATATCACATGGATCTCGTCCATTATCACATCTAGATTAAGCAGTTTTGATTATTTGTAGAGCTGCTTCATTCCAGTCATCTCTGTCAGGTTTATAACCTACTACCTAGCAGTGTTTTGGATTGCTGTAAATACAGTATAAGGACAGGAATGAGGTAATGACAGCAGATTAACCCTGACTTTATCTCTGGTAACCCCGTGATTTAGAGCAAGAGTTAAAATTGCTTAAATGTTTAAATTGCTTAATCTCTGTTCCTTACATGCATTTCAATTAAAGATGTAAAATCCCATTTAAATGGTTAACAAAGTTAAACGTAAATTTAACCAGTAAACGGGGTGGCAGTGGGGGAAGTCAAGGGTAGGCCGGAGCGGCCTCCTGCCTTGAACAGGGGTTGCTTGGAGCAGCCCCCTACCTATGCTGGTGGGGGGCTGCTCAAGCCCGTACCAATCAACCTAAAGGCAAAGCTTTCTGGTTAACCATTAACATCCCTAATCTCAAAAGACATTACAAAAGTTTGCTGATACTCCAGAGGAATCCTTGGATTGGAATAGCTAGAGGTGTGCCAGGTCAAAATTGGGGTTTCATGGCAGAGCTATATGGGTGAGTGGGCACACAGAAATGGTGGTTTGTTGAGAATATGATGCCAGTACACTGGAAGTGGGTCTGGCCCACGAAAGCTCATCATCTAATAAACCATCTTGTTAGTCTTTAAAGTGCTACATTGTCCTGCATTTTGCTTCAGCTACCCCAGACTAACACGGCTACATTTCTATCACTATTCCAATTACTGAAATCACTGTGAATCAAGAAGGCTGCATGTTTACAGCAGGAGGAAAAGGGAGGGAAAATAAGACCTCTCCTCTATTTCCTGCAGTGCCTCCTATCACACAAGATCTATAAAGAACAGCCAAAGAAAAGCAAACTTTAAATCCCTGTCTCCCTCTAGCCTGAGTCAGCTATAAAAGTTGCAAGAGACTTTTATGCACCTCTTCAAAAGTGCAATTATGGTCATAAATGTAATTAATTCAAAATGACATCTTATGCCACAGACCTGCTCCTTATGTGCATCAGTTGTCTTATTATAAAAACATGAAAAATAAACAGGTTTATAAGCCCTGAAGATTCATCACTCAGCCCATCCTGGTTCATGCAAAAGCAACAGTATGATTAATTAAATTTCCAGTTGCAAGGCCACATTCAAACATCAATTCACTTTGAATATAATAATGTAAGAGACGACAGAATCTTGTTGCCAGATCATACTGCAATAGCCAGGATGAATTCAGCTTGACTTTCAGATCACAGTTTGACATGGTTGGGTTGGCACTTAGAAAAAAAGACTTTAAAAATATTATATACTGTTACATCTTGTTATGGAGTCACTGAGATACAATGAACACGGAAGTCCAGGATGCCAACAGAGTAATTTTTCAGAGCAGAACTGCACTTTAAGATTAATTTAAAAATACAATAAAAGGAATGATATTTTATCTTCAGGCTCCAAAGCAGGCAAGTGACTCAGTGCAGGAGACACATGCTGGCCAGACCAAATCATAAGAGGCTCTAGCATCTGCCTAAATCATTTGTCAGTCCCTAAACTGGAAGACTGCAAAGCCCACCCATTCATCACAATGACAGGTCTGTGAAAGGAAACCTGGACTAGGGATTTGCAGACTCCCTGGGATGCCAGTGCTGATGGCTCATCCTTCAACCCCTTGGAGAAGTAGAAAACTGTTGATAAGCCTGAGATTAGTTGATACCTGTGTTCCTTCCAAGCATGGAACCCCTGAGCCTCTAACTGCCTGGGCTGATTAATCACCCGTGAAGTTGGGCTGCCACACTGGTTGGTACCCATCCCTATATAGAAAAACTGAGTGGGTTCAGATTTTACTGTCCTGTTTGGAAAAGAACGAAATATAGTCCACCATTTTGCTGTGACCACTTACCTTAGTAAGTTAAGGTGCTTTTTCCCTCTAGAATGCCCCATGCTGCTCTTTTCTTCATTGGGTTGGAGAGAGAGCCTTTGATGGGAGGAAGGAGAAGCATGCCCAGAGGTCTTCAGAGAAGAACCGAAATAGGCAAAGCACTCACAAATATCTATGGTTTAAAATTAAAAGTGGCATGTGCTACAAGGTGCAGTCACAGAAGAACTCTTGGGGGTGCTTCCTGGCCAGAGTGCTGACAAAGCCACTGACACTTGCCTCTTTGCTCTCTGGGGTTTCTCACCACCCTGTCCTGTTGGGCCAGATCTCCTGATCTCCTTCAGCCAAGGCACAGGCTGAGATCACCCCTTCCCCCCCGATGAGTAATATAGAAACAGCTGGTCCCCGAGTTGCGAACAGTCGACTTATAACCATTCACAGTTACGACCAAACCTGTCGTAAATGGCGGACCCAGAGTTACGAATGTGATCCGTGCTTATGAACAGCGCGGTTGCATGTAACTCTATGGGGTCCTCCTTACAAACAAACCGAGTTACGACCAACTGCTTGGTCCGTAACCAGTTTGTAAGTCGGAGAGAGGCTGTACTGAAGCTTTTCAGGTCTGAGGAAAATACAGTTTGGGGCTCAGCAGAAACCACTCCTCAAATGGGGTCAGAACCCCAAATAAATTATCCAGGTAAACCTCCTTTAATAATGAAAGGAGGATGTACACACTGATTGCTTCCCCAGGTAACAATTTACACTGTTATGAAAGTGGTTTTATTAAATGCAAACAGTAGGATTTAAGTGGTTGCAAGTAAAAACAGGCAATGTAAATTACAGATTTAAACAACAGAACACACATAGTTAGTCCTAACACTAAAAGCTCAGTACAAACTTACCCTAAAACTGTTCTTATTTCAGCTAAGCCTCCAAACCAGGGAAGGTCTTTTTTCCCTAAGGGTCTCTGGCTCATTCTCTTGGGAGTGACATGCCAGCCAAAGGGAGAGCTAGTTTCCCATTGTTTTATAGATTCCACTTTGGATGAGAACTTGGGAGTTCTCTCCCCTACCTTCTATGTAATTTTACCTGGTCAGACCCTACCAGTTGGGGTGATCACATGCCTTCCTAAGACCACCACTACTAAGACTTAAAGGACTAAAGAGGCTGTTTACAGGCAATCACCCAGACATTGAGGGAAACACCCCGTGATGACTTTCATTTGCACATTTAAATCCATAAACCATTCCATATCTCTAACTATACATACAAGAATGATACATTAACCAAAATAAGATATAAAGATCCAGGGGATTGTGACATTAAGACTGATAGATTACAAGGTGTTTTATCCAAAGCATCTTGGAGTTATGCAATATTTGTGTCCATAAGTCAATTTTACAAAGCATGGGGAGGGGGGAGTGAAACCATTACAGCATGTACAGGTGCGTGGAGAATATAGACAAAATATGGCCTAGCAAAGTCCTTTTCTTGTCCTTTCAAAAAACTTTTACTCTAAATGTAGCCAGTAATCATTTTAGGAATTACAGTTAATAGAGCTACAATTATGTTCAGATTCCCATTCATCTCCAGTACATCTTGAAGCACAATGCTGACTGTTTTCAAAGGCCTTCCTTATTAAATGCCACTGCAAAAATGTAACCAAGTGTTTTATAACTATTGGTTAAGGAGTCACCAAACTTCCCCTCCCAATTTCAGCAAAGTCAGAGAGCTTTTTCAGCCAATTAAA